GCACTTCATACCAGAAAAAAAATGACATTTGAATACAGCTAATTTATTGCGGATGAAGACATTTTAGGAAATTGGTCATGCTAACCACGTGATATGGCTATTTGCCGTAATCTTATAGCACGAGAGCTTGCGATACACCATTATGCTTATTTGACACACAAGAAATTCAGATCATTCAAAAAAATGGTTCTTTCAAGCAATTATACGGATTTCAAATCTGGAACATAGATCATTCTCATCTCTACTGATATTATAAATAAGAAAGTATGCATGTTTGTTACTCAATCGTACCAAAATGGCTGAACGGATCTAGATGAAATTTGGTATAGAGATAGGTTATACTCTGGAACAGCACAGAGGGTATTCTTTATCTCGGGAAATATCTTTGAAATATCTATTTACACGGGTGTAGCCTAGACGGCATAATGGAATTTGACACGAGATGTCTGACCGAACTGAGTAAGTATATAAATAGGGCATTGTCATCGTGAATCAAACGGTACTACCAGAGGCGACAGGCTGACAAAATGTAACTTCTATCAACGCCAACTTGAGTGCTATGTATTTGGTAGGATTCTGTTGCTGTTAACTGTTACTGTGACATTTAGGAATATCCGATTTACTTACTTATACTGTTGTTGGTGGTTATATTTCAATATAAAAAGCTCAACAAAAAATTATCTGGCCTAAATGCATGTCGGTAAATGATAAATCTATTGATTCTGTAGTTTGACATGTGACTTCAGACTAATGAAGCGTAACCACTCCTCTGAAAAATTCTATAAATAATATTTTCCTTTCTGTTCACTATTCTTACAAATCAATATAGTAATTGAAGTCAAAACTAGTATCTTTCTCCTTTCGGCAGTTACATTTACAAATCGTTCATTCACAAGAAGACCCAACCTGTTGTTTGACTTGAAAGTTTCGTTTATCTTGTTTGCGATGCTTCCTGGAGCATGTTGCTTTAACATCTAGTTCAGCAAAACGAAGAACTGTTTGATCCAATACGACGCGTTATATGCTACCAAATTAACAACACTAGGTTTCCTGTTCTCCTATATCCATAGCTTCATCTTCGTCATCACTATCTGTTTTAGAACACTGACAATGCCTTGCTGATTGATTAGCAGGTCAGTCAGTTATGTAAGATCTATACGAGACCAGAAACAGCTACTTAAGAAGCTGCTTGATGTATTGGAAGTCGACTGACTCTTGGTCGCGGCCTTCAAAGGTTATTTGGATCTCCTGTTGACCATCGTATCTGCCTGAATCACTCGCATAATCTATTTTGTATAACATTTACCGTAACAAAAAAATCAAAAATCGAAAAATTTTGAAAAAATAATAATTATATAATAATAATATATAATATATATATATATATATATATATATTATAATATATAATATATAATTTATATAATTTATGCTAGGTTTTTGAACATTTTGTGTACCCTTCAGTAGCTTGAGTTAGATATTTTAGGCGTTTGCAGACAGTTTAGATAATGTTCGGGTAACACCGCGTGTAATACTTGCTTCCTTACATACCTGTACAGATTCAAGTAGTGACAGTTTATAGTTTGTATAATAAGGGGGTGTACATTTTTTACAACATTATAATGTTTGAGATTGTTTTTTCCAAGAGTGTCGATGATATAACACTTACAAGTTTTGTTACACCGACCAGCTCCTTTGCTGCGCACACTTGCTTTTCTTCCAGATGACAAAACACCGTTGACTAATCCAATTAACAGTATGTGTAGAAAGGTACAATCAGCCAGAATAGAATCGAGTCGCCAAGTTTAACTGATATACACGCGCAACAACGATAGCGGACAGTTTTGCGGTTGATCGCAGTGTGGTCAGACAGAGACTGACTACATATTGAAGGGAGCGATCTGGACCAGAAGGCTGACTAAGATAACGAGATACTATATGTACGATGTGTGGTACGATATACGAGGAGTCGTTTTTATGTTTCTGGACTCGCATCAATACACTTTGGGTTGGAAAATTAAAATTTATGAAAAGCTTTCTGATAAGGTGTGCAAACAAATGGCTCCAAGACCGAACTAGGTATTAGAGCTGAAATCTTCACACCGAAAAAAATGATTAAGTAATCGGCTTGGAAACATGGACATCTACACCAGGTGTCAGATAAATGCAACATACAAAATTCTGGTGAAATTCAGAACCTAACTACTTCTAATTATAACTCTATTTTGACAGTCTTTTCGGCAGACGATAGGTACACCCTTTAACTTCTCGTTCGTTCAGTTTCTTGTCGGTAGTTACTGTTTGATTTGGTATACCAGGTGACTCAAAATTATATTTCATTAGCATAACTTTGAGACACACAATGGAATGATTCTATCAGCCATTCAGACCGCAATTAACTAAGAACCACACTTTCTCCGTATTTTTTTATTTACTTCATCATATGCAACGGTTGATCTTTTATCAACAATTTATATTTATTCTTCTACAACTTTTCTATCTTTTGTCTGAGTTCTACATTTTTTCCAAGAAATTGTACAGAAATATATTACCGTTTACTGACACATACAGATTTCTCATACCGTTTTTCATTTTTACTTCCCACGCCTACTAGTGCGAAAGTATTGTAATCGCGAAATATTTCGAAAATAATGTCTGTTTTGGACGTTATATGACTTCTACATCATGAAAAACCATGTCAATTACTCTGTCGGTCTGTCCGATAATCTTTGGGCCGCCTATAACTTGGAAAGTAGTGCTCGGATATGGATAAAATTCTCACACAAGGTTGCTACTATGCCAAGGACGGAAAAGCTTTGTAGTTTTTGAAAATTGACTCGGTGGGGACGGAGCTAGGAGCAAAAACACGATGACGTAAAAACTGCTCAAACTTCGTTTTTAGACGTTTCGGAGGCTTCTGATCATTTTTGGACACATTTTTGTAGGGGTTTAAAATCGAGAGTTGGGGGAAGATATATCTCATTTTGTTGGCGGCGGTATATTTATAGGATTGCACCCCCAGTAATTTTACGCACCTATCAGTACATATTTCACACCTCAAGGATTTCCTAGTTCATTTGTCCTTATAACAGAAATATTTATAGACGAGACACGCGGTCTTTATACGCCGAACCCTGTCCTAAGTCTGGCAGCTTCGCTGGCAGGGATGTTATGGTATCGTGGCTGGCGCTTATGCCGTGTTGATACTTAGGACAGGGATGGGGACTATGGAATATGTAGTAATTGTATATTGGTCTGTTTGGCTGATCTGACTCATTTAATTTTTCGTTATACATGTTTGTACCTAGATCGAAGGGACTAACTTAGGCCGGACATAATCCCTTATGAACTGATGACAGCGTTGCGCGAGAAGTGCAGACTCAACCTACTTGACGCCATCTTTTTAAGGAGGCCTGACGAAAAAAATGCCCTAATTTTAGAACACGCTGTATAATATACTCATATTATATTTATTTAGAATACAGGGCTTAGGGTCATCTACTGCATATAGTTTGATTTTGGATTCATTCAATTTAAACTAGGATTTTTTTTCAGCCGAGTGAACTTGTAGGCAATAATTCGCAATTTCGATAAGTATTATGTTCTTTAGATTGATACGCCCCAAAGAAGGCGAAAGTATATATTAAATATTTTAGACTTTGTTGTCACGGCCTGTCTGGAAATATATAAACAATGCCTTGTATAATAATTATCTTGGATTCACCCGCATCACAAACTGTTTATTTTATTTGGTTCGTTACTCCTGTTTTGATAAAACTAATCTTGTGTTTGCATTTAATAGATTGCCTGGTAAACTAGATTATATCTAAAGTAATGCACTAGGATAACTTACGATGATAAATTTCATGAAGTACATTATGTCAGTCATTCCTTTGCCAGCTCCATGGGTCGATCAATTCTTAAAATTATATAAATTGTTATAATACATTTCAAATAATTCATATTCCTTTCGACTTGACAATAAGACAAATGAGATGTTGAAACCTTGAGCTTAGCTATTATAGAGAAAATGGAGGCAGTACTCTCGCGCTTTACGAGATTCCATTCGACTAGCGTAAATGGCACTTGTATGAATGTTTGCTTTTGAATTCGATTCAAATCTCAGTTATAATATGTAAATCGGGGCTGATCGATTTGTTTTAATTGATTTGAACCATGATTCAATCGTTTATATCGTGATTTTTTTATAAAAATCAGTATTTAAATCAAACTTTTTTCATGAAACTTCATGATAATCAAATCAGCTACATAAAAGAAAAATACTTACTCAAATGCACAGTTTTCATTCATTTATGTAAACTACGTTATTATAGCAAACTATTAGTGAATAAGAATTTTCCAGCTGTTTAGGTTAGAGCAGACCAAATGTAGAAAAATCCTTTCTAGTTGCAAGATATTAGGCTTTAGCCGACCATGCTCATCTGCGCTGTTCATCTGTGATTTCCACCACTGCAATGGTTTTACAAGTTTAATTCCTCAGCAAACATTACTTGTTTGAATGGATCACTTTTAGCTTCAAATTTAATTATTAAAGGCGGCTGGTTCCGAAAAAGCTCAACGTTGTCGCAAACGATACAACCCTTATTGGTGGTTTTATTCAACATTCCAAGTGATAACTTTTTCGTCCCGCTGCGAACGCATTGCATCGAACGTCAGCTGCAGTGTTGCTATTTCAAAAAGTAATAGTTTTGTTAAGGGGTTATCTGTTAGTAAGCTGATCTTGACCTTACTAACAGATAACCCCTTAACAAAACTATTACTTTTTGAAATACCATTCGCTGTGAATATGAAGTAAAATTTCTAATACTCGTAAATATAATAAAAAAATCATGATTAATTTGATTTTTTTTAAATTAAAAAATCTGCCAGAAAACTCGATTTCTATCAACCCTAATGAGAATATGATTTAAATGCTATTTTCCCCTCTAAATATACGCACACCCCAATTACAGCCAACTGAATAAAAGAAAACTATCTGAGTGAATTGTTACATACTTTTATGTATTTTGAGGTCGAATATAATCTATGTACACATTATAATAGCTAAACATTAATCAAATGATACATCAATTTCTACAAATAATATGAAAATACCTAGCTAAATTAGTGTCGACGCTGCATGACAGCATGTTCGATTCCCACTGCTGTAGGTTTAATAATGCCAGGTTTTGATGTAACTCATTGCAAATATCGAAAGCTCAGGAGACACTTTACTGCCATCATTGCGTCATCCTAGAAAAACATAAATTTTAATTATTGATATTCCTCTAACAAAGCTACTCTTATCCTATACTGTAGAGACAAAATCACTTGATATTGCACTAAGCATGTGTGTAAAACTGTAGTAAAATTATATGGCTTTAAATTGATTTATGGGAAGCATCATTCCAACTGGATTCTGTCCGATGTCCAACCACAACCATGACAGATCAAAAAATTGATACTATATTTTCTATGGATAGTCGGATACGGTAGTGTTGGGTAATTTGATGTCGATAAGGTAACCTGCTTCGCCGATTTTCCGAATCAAAACAGAATGTAACAGGGGTTTACATGGAGTTTCATATTTCACCAGTACCTGTAGCATTAGTTTTATTTACGTCACAAATTGACGTATTTTATTTGTGCTCATGAAAGAATTGTGCCAAGCAATCACTAGCATTTGTAACCAGTGAGACGTGTTAAGAAAGCAGTGCAATATAGGGTTGAAATGGACATGTTTGCTTTCCCTCTCTGTATTCACGACCAACCGTAGTCAGCGCTGTTTCGTGCGGTATAGGTCTAGTAGTCCAGAGAGATGAACGAAAAGGAAAGAAGACAAGCGGGTATAGTCGTTTGAAAATCTCAAAATATTGTGCGAATGGATAGATGGATTTACGGTCAAAAATAAGTACAAAATGGGTAATACCTTCGACTTACAAATATTGTATTGTACCTAGGTGTCCAAATACAAGCATATCAGATCTAGAAAAATATTTTATCCCTGTGCCAAAACAAAAGAATTAGGATTGCCTGTTTCGGAAATATCATTGTACTGCTGCAAATCCCATTTTGGTGTAAGTACTTAGGTATTTAGTTAATATGATATAAACGATCATAATAATTATTAGTGTAGATGCCAGTTTGCCTATTATGTTGGAAAAAGAACCTAATTGGTGCAAACAACAACGGGGATAGATTTGATTACTGCTTTTATTTCGAGACAATGTGAATAATGTCATAATGATCATGTTTTTAGTGGAGCAACAATACTCCTTGAACTTTGTCTGTGTCGACGTGATGATAGATCGTAGTTCAAGAACCAAAAAGCCTAGTCAAAATTCCAAAAAGTGTAAAATCGAATAATGTCACGTTTTAAAAGAATCAGCTGTATTGAGATGTCGCAAAATGGATTGCCGAGTCGAAAGTATGTATAATTATTATGATATGACATTGTATTACCCATAAAGCGTTTGAAAAAAGTCCATTAGAGTCTGCATGTTTATCAGACTCTCAGTTAAGAGATATGTCAATTTTGGCTGCAGCTCACGGCAACTTTGGCAAACATGCGATATTATATATACATAAATTAAACATTGAAAACAGCTGTAATTTGAGTGCAACCGACATTTTTTGCAAACAGCATTCATTCCAGATCCGCCATATAGAGTTTTTAATAATCGATATTAATTCGTTATTAGCAAACCTAACATCATCTTCAATTTAAATTTCAGCTCAATCAAAACATCAGCGACCTGGAAAACGTAGACATGATTTTTTTTGTAAAATTTAGAGAATATTTATAATTATGGCCATATTTTAGGACTCCGACCATTGTGTTGGCTTAATTATAAATATTAGGGCGTGCTTAAGCATAAATGTTTCACATAGTATATTCAACCATTAACCACTATTATGCTTAAGTGACGGTAAGCGCCGTCGCGTTGTCCGGCCACATCAGTGCCGGGGACCCGAAGCCAAACTTGTGCACTGTGACGCCACGGCCAAATCTCGACGCACGACGGCGGTCGAATACAGAACCCAACACAAAAATCCACACAACCTCCTCAAATTTCAACTTATCCGACTAATTCTTTTAGATTTATCAAAGATATCAGTTATATCATTATATGCAAGTGAAACCAGCAGTAGTATTTTTGACTATAGAAAACTTCCTAATTAGTTTACCATGACGAATAACGTTTTTTACATATGAATTCCACCATCATGCATGATTAGTAAGGAAATTATATAAGTATGATTAACAGTTTATTGACTTATGTATGGAGGCTATCACTAGCCTGTATTTCATGAATCATTCAGTGCAGAATTCACATATAGTATTAATGGGAAACATGGGCAAGTAAAAGTTGTGAGATACTTTTAAAGCATCCATAGTATACTAAACCTTAACCTAAAATGCTTCTGTATGTTGATCCCTACTGGAACAGCTTCAGGGACAAATCTAGCAGGAGGGCAGCGAGTTCAAACTGATCCTCTGTAAAATGTGTTTCTGGGGTGAATATAATTGTAGGAAACAACAAATTCTCTCCTTCTCAGATAAAGAACGTCAGAACAGTTGTGGATGTCTATTTCCTTTCAAAATTGTACCCACTCCTAAACAACGTTATGAATTCCTACTACAGCATCTTAAAATTGAAGGTACCTACATATTTATTGTTCCTCTTCTTCATCAAGTGCATCCAGATGATCCAACTTCAATTCCCTTCCTCTCTCAACAAATCTCTTCTTTTTCTCTTTTTTAATCTTCTGTCCTGGCACATACTCAGGCATGACTATCTTTGATCCACTAAAACTAGCTTTCAACTTGTCTGTTTCATCTGTACTACTAACTTTTGGAACTGGCGTATGCCTCTTGAATACAATTTTAGTTGGAAGGTCATCATCTGTCTCCATTTCTTCTGATTTTTTCCGGTCCTGAAAAAAATATTCTATTGTTGATTCAGTATTTCTTGGTTCATTTTAGATGAAAACCATTTATTGATTTCATATTTATGTTAGGTATGCAAACCCTATTTTGAGATGCTATATTCAGCTCTTCTTTTAGCTTCAGTTGTGATATCACAAGCATTATGAACTATCTATTCATTTGACATATTTGGTCTGAAATACATCATTAAATGCTCATAAAAATGTAATAGATAGGCACCTATGTTACGAATATGTATATATAAGTAGCCAAACTGCAATATGTGATTCCTCAGGTACTGCTAAGATGAAAGGCTGACATAAATATGGGCTCTATAATTTCTCTTACTGAGATACAGGGTGTTGAGGTTATACTTTTTTAAATCAATGAATAGATGTTTTATCTGCTGAGTGGATAGAATTGTCAATTTAAAATCTTGTACATGTTCTAATTACAGTAGCTTAATCAGTACACATTTTGAATCTCAAACTACATCAATAGAACAGTAACAGGGACATTTTTAACCCTGCAGAACAATGAAATATTTTCTATGGCACACTTCAATCCACATGTCCCAACTGAGAAATGTTTGCCACTCTTTTCTCATGTGATCAAATAGTTCAATTTGTTGTAACCTTACACTGGAGAAGTCATAACACATTACACTTTTAGAGAAGCATCATCAGAATGACAAAATCATTAATTGGCTAATCCGACTATACAGGGTGTCCCATACATGTGGGGATAGAATATTGCACTTGAACAAACACTTTTCAATGGAAACTGTAAGTCTTTTCACACTTTTTGACAGGCCACAGTGAAACTACAGGAATTACTTTCATCCATCCATCTCACCCTACATACGTAATCAGTTTCTATGTGCAAATGTTTGTTTGTGTCACAGACATAAAGTTTTTCTTCTCTCAAATCCAGATTAGAGCTGGTTTCCAGCAGTTTTTGCTTTGAGAGTAATACTCTCCCAAACTGATCCAGGAACAGTGCATCAGAATTCAACGTGCATTGGAACAGTATTGGTGCCGAATGCTACTGAGGGCCACTCAACAGGGAAACTGGAAAGCAGCTTTAGGTAGAAGGAGCCTGTCAAGGATTTTTTGTCTCTTAATTCTCATAGTCTGTAGTGAGTATCAAAGTGCAATCTTACAAGTCAACTTGATGTAAGTTAATTTTTTTGACAGTTCTGTCATTAAATACATGTTTTATTGTGTTATTATTTGCAAAGAGTTTTCCAGTGGTAAGTATTATTATTGTGTTGATACAACAGAGTCACTTTGGTTGGCATTGGTGGTCAAATGAGTCAAAAGTATGCACTCAAACTAAGCAATTTTGATGACAAACAATACAATGTTCTATACAGCAGATCAACAAAGGCAAAAGAACACCCATAACAGACAACCATGTGGAACACTTGTATGCTGATGAGGAAATTTTGAAGGCAGTAAGACAAAACTAAAAAACCATGTTTATCTGCTTCCACAAATAAATGTCAGCATGTAAAGGCCAATTTTATATGTATGTGTGAGAGAAACAGGTGTATGAAACAAATTCTTGTAGTTTTACTGTGAACTGTGACCTGCCAAAAAGACCTATAATTTAGCAACCTTTATGTTGCAAGTTTGTGAATGGTAAAATCAGTGAAGTATATTACCATATTACCTTTAATTCCTTCAAAAATGACAGAGCAGCTCTGGTATTGCCCTTATCTGAAATATCTTCATCCCTAACATCATCAAGGGAATATCTTATCCATTTGTGTGGATTCTTCTTGAAATCAGGCATTCGTTTCAAGTAACCTTTGGGTATAGGATTTTGTGGTTGTTTGAAAATACTCTCCTTCCCTCTCAGATGTTTTGTTTGTGATCTTTGCTGTTTTTTGTTGTTGGTTTTATCCACGTCGATATCATCTGGATCAGTGGATGTAACTAATTTCCTACTGTGATCCAAAACATTTAATCGATCAAAAACACTTTTCTGGCGTTGGGTGAATTCTTCATTAGGAGATTTCAGAGTGAAAGCCTTATCTGAAGACTTGCAATCCATAATGTGCTAAAGCACAACAAATACAAAATGTAAAGTGTATCGAATTCGGTTATTGGAACTTTTATGTCAAAGCAATGGTAATAATAATAATATAGTAATAGTATACGGCTAACAATTCACTTTAATCAGCACTAATGTACAAGATTGTTTTTCCTTTTCAAAATCAAATCAAAATAAATATACGTTTGACATATGAAGGTGAAACCTAACCTAATTTTGAACATCCCCCTTCCACTCCGCCTTTTGAACGTAAACTGAACATCTATTTCGCGGTAAGACGAGTCACTTAACGATTTATGGATTCTCCCTTAGATCACGTCTACGCCACGTAAACGCGTAATGATACGTCGCGTCGTCAGTGAGAAAAACACCATAAATGCAGAAAATTCTTCTGCGGTTTGATTTATTGCCTAAGACGACATAGACGCACAGTGGGGCCGGAACCCGAACGTCTGGCCAAAATCCCTAGAGTTCCTCAAAGCGAACAAGACTCGATTTAAAGGGCTTTATGATCTACATCTACATTATGCGTTATATGCTTCAATAAAACCACTGACCAATGACAAAACATGTAGTGAATGAACCAACATTGGAATGTCTGAACGTACAACAAGGGAAACCGTTATTTTAATCCCGCATCTTATAGCTAGCGGAATAGCGAAATCACATGTATTAGAATATTTATTATACGTGTTCCGAGTCAAAATTATTTTCAAACGAGTTACCTATATTATACATATTTACCTATATTATACAGGGTGACTTTGAAGTTGAGTCATTAATTTTCAGATAATGATTGTAGAAGGAAGATAAACCAAAATATGTGTGTAAAAATAAAAAAAAAAATTTACCTTGTTTTATAAAGTATCCTCCCGACAAGTATTTCAGTGCGGACCTGTATTTGATCGTGAGGTCCCCTGTGAGGTCTTAAGTCACCTGATTCACGAGCCCGTTGAACTACATTAACAAAGGCACGAGGGGTTGGTAACTCGATTGGGAAACCGATCCGCATAAACATGTGCCATTTTTTATTTCGTTTGAGCCACGCAACAGACACTATTCACACGCGTTACCGACTGACCAGAGATAAACCCTTCGACACTGACACTGACTGTATGTATAACTGAACTGAATAAAATAATTGTAAAAACATCGTTCCAAATTCTTTCGCTTTTTTGTTTCCGATGCGATGAACCGATAAGGCGGATTATATCCGTTGTTGCCAAACACGAGCACATGATATTATTATTGAGACAGGGCGGTACTCAAACTTCCAAAGGGCTATAACTTTGTTACTTTAATTTTACCAGAAAAATGGTAAAGGAAAAAAACATTTCTTTTGATCAGATCTACTCACTGTTAAAATAAATGACTCAACTTCGAAGTCACCCTGTAGAAATGCGGCTATTGATCCTTGGAAAATTCAGTTGAGGTACAACTAATAATTACAGCATTGAGCCTTCAACGCATTTTACCAAAGCCCCATTACCAATAAATGAAGAATACTCGATAAAAAAATCACAACAGGCCTACATATGTAACTCAAGGAAGGAGGGGTAATCCTAACTTTACAATGAAAATGTAATGTTTTATATAAACTATATAAATAGAAATACAAACGAAATTTCATCGCTTAAAGATTAAGTTAGAAGCTTATCTTTGAATTTCGTATTTCCTTAATTGGAGAAATCTCTCAATTTGATCATTAACAGTGATATACCTCTTTTTTGGTTTCAATTAAAATATTAAATTAAATTTAAGGATATATAAATATCAAATTTTTAGGTCGAAACTAAATGCAATTTTTTGCTTCTTATTTATTAATAAATTGGTTTATTATTGAATATTTTTAGTTAAATAAAATTCTTATTTATCTATTAAGATAAATTGGTTTATTCCAATATTTTTTAAATGCAACTTAAATGTTATGATTAACTATTATCCTTAATTTATTAATTCTAAAGCTCCTTGTTTTCATTCATGATAAAGGCCGAGTAACAAAATAAGTACAAAAAAAATTATAACTAAGGAATAGTTTATTGTATTAGAAATTATTAATCTAGGAATTATTGGAAGTAAAAGAGTAATTTCAACATCGAAAATTAAAAAAATAATGGCGATTAAAAAAAAATGTAATGATAATGATTGTAGAAGGAAGATAAACCAAAATATGTGTGTAAAAATAAAAAAAAAATAAAAAAAAAATTTTACCTTGTTTTATAAAGTATCCTCCCGACAAGTATTTCAGTGCGGACCTGTATTTGATCGTGAGGTCCCCTGTGAGGTCTTAAGTCACCTGATTCACGAGCCCGTTGTACTACATTAACAAAGGCACGAGGGGTTGGTTGCACTCGATTGGGAAACCGATCCGCATAAACATGTGTCATTTTTTATTTCGTTTGAGCCACGCAACAGACACTATTCACACGCGACTGAAACTGACTGTATGTATAACTGAACTGAATTGTAATCGTAAAAACATCGTTCCAAATTCTTTCGCTTTTTTGTTTCCGATGCGATGAACCGTTGTTGCCAAACACGAACATATGATATTATTGAGACAGGGCGGTACTCAAATTTCCAAAGGGCTATAACTTTGTTACTTTAATTTTACCAGAAAAATGGTAAAGGAAAAAAACATTTCTTTTGATCAGATCTACACACTGTTAAAATAAATGACTCAACTTCGAAGTCACCCTGTATATTTATATTTACCTATATTATATATATTTACCTATACGATTTACCACCTTTAAGGTGGCTACAGACACGACTACAAGCTTGTCCAGCATGCTTATTCAATCTTTTTGTACAAGTATGCACAATTTGCCTTTGGCACCACACGTAGTATGATAAAAGTAGAGTTAGTCTAATAAAATATGTCGAGCTCGGACGACGATGCTTTGGCCGCTTTTGTTCTTGTAAAGAAAAGAAAATCCGAATAAAAAAGCGTGCGGTGTGGTGTAAATAATGGTTGATGAAAAGTAAAACGTGTTCTCACATTAACTTACTAAGTGAGCTGAAAATATATATCCGCGGGGCTGGTATCATTATCTCAGAATGAATGAAGAGACGTATTTAAGCCTTTTGTCTCTGGTATCACCTTTGGTTCAAAAGCAGGATACGATCATGAGAGAAGCCATAATACCACATGAAAGATTAACGGTAATAATATTCTGTACGCTGCATCCCTCTTTGCTTTGATATGATAATATTTGGATTTAGCGTGCCAAAGACATAGCTGATTTTGGTACTCCCGAATAAAATCTTCCAATAATTCACGGTTAACCTTATTGAGCTCACTAGTCATGTCGAAAATTACTCAAAATACTCAAATGCTACCTACGTACGACTAGTCACGACAATTCCAACACATCACAACGGACGCCAACTTGTGCAAGCATGAAAATCGTGGGCACACAAGTACCGTTTTGCTTAGGCAAGCGCGCCTAATTCAAGCATGCATAATTAAAATCAATTAATGCCTCAAGCTGCTTAAACAATTACAAAGCTTCCACCACATTTCCCTACAGACATTCAATAAGCGTGCTTGTACAAAAAGATTGAACAAGAATGCTGGACAAGCTTGCAGTTGTGTCTGTAGCTACCTTAATTTAGTATAGAAAACTATCAATCGCTATTTGGTACCAAAGCCCTGTTCGTACAGCTGTCACCAATCTGTCAGTGATCGTGTCCAAGGTCCCGCCACACAAATTCATTCTGCTACGCTATTTAGACAGAATTCACACGGCTGGATCTCAGACACAGTCACCGATCACTGTACGAACAAACGTTAAACTGAAAAAATAGTCAAAAATTACAGATGACTCGTTTGCAAAACTAGTAGTTGAAAGAGATATCGAAAGATTCCCACCTTTTTTCATTGACAGTTGGATATGGAGTACAAATGAACGTTCTTTCATAATCGATATAAAAAACACTCGAATGAACATTTTTCAGTGAATCATTTGATTAAACCTTTTCCGAAAATGATATGAGATTAACTGAAAAAAGCGAAGTTTTGTCTTTCAACCCGCTAAATTAATCAATTATGTCTGCAGTAATACGAGTTGAAATGTGAAAAACGTTCATCAATAGAGCAAAAAAGTATGCAACACCTTTGTTTTTGTCTTCAAGATCAATAAACGTTTTTTTTTGTTATAACGCACATAAAAAAACATAGTTTTACAATAGATTTATTCACAAATATTAAATATACAATAATATTTACATTCAAAATGTAAATAAATATACTCTTACCAGTTAGATAAACGAAAAACAGTTACCTAAAAGAACTCTCTTTAGCACCTAAGAAAAACATTACCACCAGTCAGTCTTATATAAAAAGACGAACACACAAAAATAAAGCATCAAGGACTTTTGATTTATTGGAAGTTGAACCACTTATTAGATTTTCAGCATAATGACAAAATGTCGTGAAAATGAATCTAAAATTGAGATTATCAAATTTACTTGTTTTTAAAAATGAACATAAGAGCAACTATTATGATTTTTTTCCCAAACGTTAGTCATGAAATCGTATCACCGATAAATCTCTTTGTAAGTATAAAAATGATGTGTGATTTCATATTTAGACTAATAGAAAATATTTTTACTGGATAGTCGCGAAGATATTTACGTATTGCGTGTTCTCAAAACCTATCTGCATTTAATTTAAGTATACGTTAAGATACATAAAATACTATCAATTCCCTTTAAATAAAAACAAATGCGAGCTGCTGTTTACAAAAATATTTGAAAACTATGTTATAAATCTTTCCAAAGCTTTGTATCTATTTTTAAAAATACACTTTTATGTACAAAACCTATGAAGAACAATAGCCTATCTCTGCCTATAGACCATTCCAGAAATCAAATTTGAACTTTGGAATAAGAAGGAAAGCAAAAAAAATAAACCTGTGTAATACGGCATTCTAAAATTGTATTTTATTAGCTTATACGAAATATGGATGGAGTTTTTCAGTGGATAATCAAATGGAATGAACAATTTGATGTCCCATATAATACTACTGCTTCCGAACACTGACATATTTTGGACGGTAACACTGACGATTCATTAAGGGATTTTATGGTAACATGTAACAAATAAGTTTAAACTTGTTTTTTGGTTAAATTTGATCAACAGCACTCGAACTCGAGAAACAGTCACTATAGCAAGTAAAACTCATGTGATCAATCGATGTCTTTTTTGTATATACCGACGCAGCCGCTTAGGCAGAAGCCTAAATACCTGTGGGCACCGCAGCTGCTATGAAGAGATAAACATTTTTGAACTGTCTAAGGTTAGTAGAACTGGGAAAAGCATCATCAGGTTGATTGTTCCACAATCTCGATACCTCAGCGATCGGCCAGTTCTCGATGTACAACGTGCGACACGGTTAAGATAGGCCGAAATAAGGCGGGTGTGTCTGACAGGCACATCACACGGCGGCATCATGGAGGATGCATGCTTGCTGCGCTTTTGGGAGCAAATACCCTTGTGACAATTGAAGAGCGGGGGATACGTCTCACGATTCAGGCTTAGCGAGCTAATCTTCACACAAAGCTACAATATACATTTTCTTGAAAAAAAAAAAAGGCGGACTTGGGCGTCTAGTTGGGGCGTAGCGTGCGCGGCGTCAGTCATAAGACTTGATGAGTTTACTCCACAGTTACGTGAAGTAAGATACGAAGACCTCCGTTCATCGCTGGTGCTGGAAACCATACTGAATGTCGTTAATCAAGCCATCGAGTTCAAGGTACTCCCATAGCTCCCGATATATGCATCTCTCCGTCATCTCACTTACAACAGAAAGCAAAGCTATATGCCTGTAGTTGTAAGGGTCGGTCTTAGATCCCTTTTTGGGATGGTCTGGATGTGAACAAATTTCCAGTCGTCTGGGAAAGTTCCGAATTACCTGAAAGGTCTCTTCCTGTATGCGAAAGAACTGGAAGTAAGCTCCACTGCACATCTCTTTGGTACAGCGGCAGGAATTAAGTCTGGGCCAGAAGTTTGTTGATGTCGAGCGACAAGATCACCCGTCTACTTCGCGCATAGTGTCAAGTGCCCGGACTTGAGCCGACTGCAAAGGTTACCACTAAGTGCTTAAGTGGAATACAAATAGTGTCGAGTAGCTTACCTAAAGGCTTTGGTTGAGCCGCCAATCTCACAAAAAATCAATAGCAACGTAATGACGTTGTTACTCCATTACTCAATGGAGTAATAACGGAAGCATTAAAATGATAATCGCGAGGTTAAGCAACTGATAAAAAAATAATTCCTTCGATATGAATCATATCATGCTACTATAATCTGGAATAGTCTGGTAGACAAAATAACTTCATTTCTCTACGAAAATTCTGCAGATATTTTTATTATCTAAACCGTTTTTGAAAACTTCTCAACAATCTCGTCGGCAGTGTGACCAAACGTTGTAAGAAGACATGTAATAATCACTATTTTATCCAAATACTGTTTTTACGCTACAACATTGGGTCGTGAAAATTGTTATTTCGTATTGGGGATACATTTTCCTCTCGTCTTTAAGAGAAAATATACACTACCGCTCAAATATTTTGGGACAGAAACTTTTTTTAAGAGAATTTAAAATAAATAAGGCTTATATTTTTTTATACTCCAACTACCACGAAGGCCTAAGGCCTAAACACCCATTGGGTACCGTGGGGCTATAGGGGGATACAGGGGAAAGGGGGGACGCCACACGGACTCTGGCGAGGGAACACGTGTGCATGCAACATGCACACATTCTGGCTCCGCCTACGAGATCCGCCGGGTGGTACCTCCACGTTCGACAGTCAGAGACCGTCTACCACCTACGGACAATCACAACATCCATAGCCAAGAGAAAAATTTCTCCTGGGACGGGACTCGAACCCGCACAGCGCACGGCGACTGATCAGGAGACCGAAGAGTCTACTACTGCGGCCACCGCTGCTGCCTAAAAGTTATATGACATTGATTGATTATTACCATCTATGATACGACTACTCAAGCTAAAGATGTATAAGAATCAGTGAAAAACCACTTAAAAGGGAATACATGTAAACATCTTTAGAGACGCCGATATTTTTATTAGTTCATTGCAGTCATAAATAATATGTTCGGCGTAATGTGATACATAAACATTCTGGATATCAATAAAACAAGGTAAAAATTGTACGTAGTTTAGTATAAACTACTAGTCGATGTGCTAGGGTCAGATTTTTTCAAAATAATGGAAAATTGTAAAGACGGGTAACGATTCTCTTGAAAAACGGGGTGCAGTATGTACCTTACGTGATGAGGGATTACCAATTCGATCTATTGCTGAAAAGCTGCATTTGGGACGTAACACTGTGTCTCAAATTTCGCTCTGGAAGACGCAGAGTTGCAACTGTTCCTGAGGATAGGTTTATAGTAATAACAAATAAGCCAAATAGACAGTTCATTTCGCCTGAACTCACACACAGCTTGAACAGAACGAGGGAAAACCCTGTGTCCATGTTCACGGTAAAACGCCGCTTACAAAGAGCATGTGCGACCTATACATAAACTCAACCGGTTAGCATTGACTCGAAAACACAAAGATTGGACCACTGACGATTGGAATCGAGTCCTTTGGTCGAATAAATCCAAATTCGAAATATTCGGATCTCGATGACGACAGTTTGTATGCCGCCAACCCCATAAACGCATGGCTCCGCAATGTTTGCAGCCCACTGCTAAACATGGACGTGAGAGGGTAATGGTTTGGGACTGTTTTCGAATAGGAGGTTTGGTTCGTATTGAGGGTATAATGCGAAAAGAGCAGAATTTGGAAATATTGGAAAACCACGCTGTTCCCTCAGGACAAAGGATTGTTGGAAACAATTTAGAATTTCAGCAACACAACGACCCTGAGCATTCATCTCGACTATGCCGCAATTATTTGGATCAGCAGCAAGAACTTGGTGCAATGAAAATCACGACATGGCCTTCCCAGTCCCCAGATTTGTCTTCTATTGAGTATCAGTGGGATGAATTGGATAGACAGGTGAAGCAACAAGAGCCTACTAGTGCAGGAAGTGTGGGTATCCTTATCACCAACTATTCTTGAAAAATTTGATACGTCGGATGAGTCGTGTCTGTCATGCAGTTATTCGGGCTCGTGGTGGACATTTCGATGAATCACAAGTTTAAAGAAAATTTTGATAGAAATAAGTTACCAACTAACTGTGGAAAATAGCTCCTTTCTTATTTTTTTGATTAAACACACTCTATTGCTTGATTTGGTTTGATTTTCCTCAAAAAATCTGCTGTCCCAAAACTTTTGAGTGGTAGTGTATATATTTGTTAACACTGTGGAGTTAAAGTTAATTGAGTATGATAGATTCTCCAGTGATTATTTATTAAACATGTTCCTTTTCAGAAAAGTAATTATTATGTTGGGGGTTTCCATTAATTTCTTTTAATTATTAGATTAGCCAGGTACATGTTGAAAACTTAGTCTTAGTAAAATCGAGCTTTTTTGAGCGACATTCCTGAAAGTATCGCAAAATTTTTGTAATGGCAGTGAAGTTATTATCTAGACCAATATTACATTGTTCATAAGCCTTCACAAAACATCTACATATTAATATCACGACAATTCATCTGACTTATAAAATACTCAGGCAGTTACTACTGTTTCGAATATGCTATCACACAACAACCGTCATCAATCCTTTGTTATGACAAGATCACCACATCCCTTATCCTTATTTTTTGTGATATTCTGATTGACTTGATCGTTTTCGTACTCTACAAAATCATCGAACAAGCTCGGCCACGCCTCGTTGTCATCGTAACAGCTTAGATCGTTGCCCACATGTTCAGAGAAATTCAAGAACATGTTCCAAGTGTCCTTGGGTATGCCACGAATCATGGGATGTGTATCCAAGAAGTTCAGCCATCGCGCTAAAATCGGAGGTTCCCGAATCGTGAAAACTAGTTTCCAGAGAAGTGCTGCCATGTCCGTAGCTAGGATGCGCTGCCCTGTAGCTGAATCTAAACCAAACCGGAACGTGAACCGATATAAGTCTTTGAATTGGTCATCGTTCTGTTCTACTTCATTCACTAAATCTGGCAGTCTCGACTGTATCGACTTAATCGAGTCTACGCGAATGCTTTTCAAACCGTTCACGAACTCTGACCGCGTGAACCGGCACATCTGTTCTGCATTCAACTTCCAAGCGAGTACTAGGATCTTGAAGTCGTCCGGGGATATTTGCAGATCTTGGCAGAGCCTCTCGATCCCTTCCGCCAGAATGCTATCGTCATTCTCGTCTTTGTACTGCTCGAAAAGAGCCGTCAGTTTGGCTTCCGACGGTTTGCTATCGGCCACGCCCATTGTAAGCGCTGATTTGGCGTGTGTCCTGCGATTGGCTGGATAGAAGCGAATTATAGTGCCGCCCGCTTCGGGCGGTGCAGACAGGTGGTTGCCGTTGCTCAAAATTGTCTCTGGTGGGGCGCAAGACGACGGTATGTGACTTGGTGCTGGGTACAGGCGAGCGTCACTCATTTCTGGAATAAAAACAATACATTATAGATGAATGACTACGGTAAAACATCTTGGAAATATGGACTACCCCGAGTTTTCAGTTTGCTTTCACGCATCTTATTTTGAATACGTCATTAATTGCTTTTTGTAATTCATGTTACTCTTGGAGAATTTCCCGCACATTTCAGTTCCTACGCCACTGGGCGAGTAAGCATTGCGATCGTGATTTCGAAATGAGGTAATATGTTTTTTGAATGTTATATGTCATGTACATCACGAAAAACCATGCCTCTCATTTCGTCGGTCTATGCGTCTATCAGTCCGCTCATTGGAGGTCCGTATATAACGTGGAAATTACTGTTAGGATTTGGATGAAATTTTCACACAACTAACTTAGTAATATGCCAAGGACGACAAAGCTGTGTAGTTTTTGAAAATGGGTCCAGTGGCGGCACAGAAAAAGGCAAAAAACAATCGCTCAATTTCGATTGTAGACGTTTCAGTCGTGATCATTTTTGAAAAAAAATAGGGGATGGGGGTATATCTCATTTTTTTATATTATTATATTTATACGCTCCCAGTTCCGGTTGTCATACGCATCTATTAGGCGTATTCCACATAGCACAGGATTCCCAAAACATTTGTCATTAAAACAGAATAAGGTTTTGGATATGCGCCTCCTGCTATCTGGACTCAGCGCTCGGCGCTCGGCATAACGATCTGGTTGATTGTTGAGCTCGTACTGCGGCGGTGTTTCGTTGGGCGCTGCCGCGTCTGTCGATATGGGAAGGGGTAACGTTGCAAGATGGCGCTTCCGATGGGATAGGGAAAAATGTCTAGGGACTAATTGTATGGGCCTGCTTGACTGACTCGATCGGTTTAACTTTTTTATTGTACATGTTCGTAACAATTTTTTTTCTCACAAGGTTTAACTTGTGCTGAACTTAATCCTTTATGAACTGCTGACGGCGTTGCGTAGGAAGTGAAGAGTCAAAGTAGTTGTCGCCGTTTTAATAAAATAATGATCCAGTGGAGCAAAGAATGGTGAAAATTAAAAAACGAAACTAGGGTCAACCACTTGAGCCTCGCCTCCAACTTTCACCTTCAACGTGACGCTTGCATTTACCGCGTCAAAATGACGATAATAGATTTAATACCTGAGTGTCACAGATACACTGAGAGGCATATGCTAAAACAAGTTAAGGCCAAAACTCAACCGATGTTAAAGACATAAATGAAAGAAGAAGCGCATTCTTTGACCAAAAATTGTATTTTAGGCTGACCATGTCCACTTTTTGTGAAAAACTAATGTTTTGTTGAAAATGTATAAAAATGTATTACTAAGCATATTACCTTCCTTATGACAATGTGGTGTGGTATCTTCGTGGGCCGTCTGTGCAGGCTCCTTGATGCAAGTCAGACAATTGCCCATTGGAGGCTCCCGTACCGTACCTTTTAAATTCCTTCCTGGAGAATTTTTGCATCGCCTGAAAAGCAAAATATTGAACATCAATTTATCCACCTCTCTGGCTAGTAATTAAATTCACAATGGTGACTAGGGATGCACCGAGTACTCAGTATGTAGCTGGTACTCGGCATACTCGCTCATTTTAATAAGTACCCGGCTTCGCCGAGTATTGAATTACTCGTTCTGACCGCAAGATACACAACTTTTGTAATTCAAAGAATTGCAGATGTAATGCGCAAAGTGTGAGCTCATCTGCCTTTCCAAAACCTTCCTGATACGTTTTTAAAAAAATCAAAAAACTGTCAGAAACAAAAAAAAATTATCAACCCTGCACTTGGCAAGTTGAAAGTTTCCTTGAGATGGATGTGACTATACCTGTTGTTTGCACCAGATGAGCTATTTGGTTGACTACTATTTTATTGCTGACAGACAACAAGTAATTATTCTGGTTCTTGTTAGAACACCATCACGGATCAAGTAAATAGACTGTGAATTGATGGTCAACCCAGAAGACCAGTTTACGGCAAAGGGTTAAAATGTTATAATACAATTTGAGACTGCAAATTTCAATATATCTTCGTTGTTTTGACTCCCATCTGCTTAGAAGCAGCTTTTACAGAATGACATTGAAATTCTTTTAAATTCAAAAAATTGGTTTCACTTTCATTCATACCAATTTTTAGTAAATCTCTACAGAATTACTAGTTTCTTATTATGAAACTCTTGTACAATGTGGAAAAATTGTTACATAGGAGGTTTCATCCTAAGAATATACTACATATATTGTTTTCATGTAACAAATAAAAATTTTTAAATCAAATATAAACACACTCCACCACTGTGCTAAATCAGATATGGTAAAATATTTTTATTAGTATTTATATTGCCTTTAAGTATTAGTCAGCATCACCTGAGTATTTAAATTATTTTATCAGTGACAATTTCTGGAGATCTAAAAAGTCTTCTAGTGAGCAATAATTTGTGCATAATTCGTGACTTTTAGAAATTGTTTACATTTCCAACTTTTAGATTTTCATCGTCATCATTTATTTATGCCAAGACAAAAAATTGTTCATAATAATATACAATGGATAATTTTCTATCAAACTTGAATAAACTTGAATCACAGCACATGAAAATAAGCATTCAGAAAATCATCAATTTTGTAGGAAGTGTTCTGGTTTGGACAATACACATTCTGCAATGAGGTATCTGCACATATAATGATATCAAGACAAAGACATCCAGAGTTTGAACCTCTGACACATTTGTACAGATGTGTTAAACAAAAATTTTGAATTCTAAGAAAACTATTGTATCTTGAGTAGAAAAAAACTGACCTAATAGGTATCAAATAACAAAATATGCTGTTGTTATAATAAGTCAGTGTCACATTCATATACATTTTTCATTTTATATATTTCAACCTTTCATCAATCATATGAGGTTGAACATGTTTTAATTTCAATAGCACATTAATTTTTTCATAATATAAACGACAAGCAGCCCTGTTATTCAAAAAGAATATTGCTATCCTCAAAAGTTATTTTTTAGACTTTTTACTTCCCATGCCTACTGGCTAACTTGAGAGGTACTGCTTCGATTTTGATGAACTTTGCCACATTGTTACTACTATGCCAAGGACGCAAAAGCTTTGTAGTTTTTGAAAATAGGAACCACAGGAAGAAGAAAGGCTAAAAGTGACAAAGAATTACTATTGCTCAATTTCTATTTTTTGGCATTGCAGATGATCCTGACTGTTTCTGAAAAAACTTTTAGAGGCAAAAAAGCTTTGGGGTGAGGGTTGTAGAGGATGGCAGGGCATATCTCAATTTTTTGATGTTAGCACAATTATATGCTCGGAATGTAGATAATTATCCCCCAGAAGGGCCTGGTTTGTGCTGAACATAATCCTTTATGAACTGATATTGGTGTTGCATGGAAAGTGTAGTGTCAACCTACCTGATGCCATTTTCTCAGTTATACTGAGTGCTCTAACAAGGTAGACAGATACTCTCTGAGAATAGAGAGTAATCATTGGTTAATGGAGCAGTTCAAAGAATATAAAAAATATTACAGTAACTTCCAAATCTTTTCAATAACCTATGACCCCTCAACACTCTGGGCCAGAGGATCTCCATCCCATTTTCTGCTCTCTTAAGCCTGATACTGTCTTTTTCACCTTGTCTGATATAAACATTCTGCTACACTTGTACGCTTGAACAACATTTGTGACAGTATAGTTCAAAATTTTGACAGTATCTATACTTGTATCTGGATGTTAAAATTGTGCATCTATTCAACAATGATCCTAGTGAAACCTCAATTGCATGAAATATCCTAAATATATCAAAGTTATTGAGGATGAAATTAATGTGGTATATATCTAAATTAATGTAAACAACAAATTTATTTGTGACTAACACATAATAATAAATATATACATACCTCTGCAAATTCGCTGGCAACTGGAAGAACAGTAAAATGGTTAATAAAAACCATGAATTTTACATTTCGGAATATTCTCCACATAATTCATTTTGACGAATGACAGGTTAGTTTGTTTTTCTTGCTGTAGGAGTAGGAAGCATTCACTTTTCAGATTGTTGGCTACTTTAGCATTTCACGAAGTCACATTAAAATCAATTATTAATCCGCACCTATACAAAATAGAGATTTTCATAAGTATTTTTGCTTCAATGTTTATGTAAAAATTACAAAGCTGCCAAGTGTCAACTAAATTTGACAATTTAATAGAGATGTGCCGGTATTTGCCAAACTGCTAGTTTGTCACGGTTGTCACTTCACAACATCCGAGTAACCGGTTACCAAGTAACTATTTACAGATACTTCGCCAAATGAATACACAATGTAAATAAATAGACAGAACGTACCATATCGCGATTACCCTAGTCGTTATCTCAACGTTTTTTTGTTACTATGTGATAGTGATTGATGCCAATGGATGTATTGCCTGACTGCCATTATGTACTCTCAGAACAGTATGTTGTAGTCGTATTTGGTACATCATGAAATATATCTATTGGAAAATTATTTCTTGTGGATTTTCTCGCAGTTTATGGCTTAGTTAAGTTTTATGCTGAACTTATTTCAAGAGGACAAATACTGTTTTGATGTATTTTCATGTCAATGCAAAACGGTCTGTTGAATAAGCTTTGAGGATATACAGATTATATTATAACAATTTGCGTTATCATCATTTTACGTTATACATAAGAAAATATTGTCCCCGTATTATCCTATCGTGGAAAGGTACGCGACAAGAAAGTATATCCCATCTCTAAGAATTTGAGAACATGACAGCTGTCAAGAATATATGTGGAACGAGAATAGAGATGGGTGATTGTGAACTTTGAGACTTATGCGTATACCGGAACGTGAATAACTGGGTATACCTTAATCCTCGTCCGTAAGCATTACATTTTTTAAATGGCAACACCAAGAATATTGGGTTATTGTGAACCTCTGCCTAAGGGATTGTGAAAATAATCGACACCATATACGGTCTAAAAATTAACACATAAAAATCCTTTCCCTGTCTCCGATAGTATATATGGAAATGGTTTATAAAAAAAATAGCGACCGGTAAGCTGACTGCACTTCCTACCCAACGCCATATGTTCATAAAGCTCTTCTTCTCCTCTGGGAAAAAACTAGAACATGAGAAATTTAATAGATGAAGTCATTCAAATAGCCAAGACCGGTACGCCTACCGATGAACCCAGAGACCAGAAGTGAAGATGCGTATCAAATACATTTTTATACCATTTCAAGTTTTTAGGGCAACTGTATGGGGAAATCTGTGATGTGTGGAATTTGGGGACAGACAGACAGAGAAAGAATGCCAGAAATAAATCACATTGTTTTTCGTGATGTGCATGTCATATAACATCAAAAAAAAAATAATCTTATTTTCGGTATTTCGATGTTTGGTAGATAAAAAACTCATAATTACCATGTTTAATATGAAAAAAAGTGGTTCCGCCCGGGATCGAACCGGGGACCTTCTGCGTGTAAAGCAGACGTGATAACCGCTACACTACGGAACCAACGTGTTGGGATATTTCAGTTGAGTCCACAGTTAATAAGGTGTCTTTACTAATAATTCCAGCGAGTTTGACATCCATATGTCAATAAATTTTAATCTGTATTATTTAGGTACATTAAGCATTCCCATCGTACAAGAAGTAGTTTTACATTGCAAAAGTACATGTCCACTTCTTTTGAGTGTCTATATTATGTCTCGTTAATGTACCTCGGAGTATTAGTTCTCCTCTATGATTATTGCTTTACCATAATATGGCATAACAATAATATACCGCGTACCGCCTCTATTTTCATGCGGCCCCTGGCCACGGCTTTCTGGTGAACTCTCTTTCCCTGTGTTGATTCAGTTCTCGGTATGCAACCAGTAAAGCAAAGTTCAAGCATTATTGATTGAGTTCCCGGACCGTTTTCCAAATAAGCAACTTCGGTTTTAATACAGAATTAGACTAGTTTAATAGTGATGTGATATTTTTAACTCTTTTTTAAATACTCACCCTGGGCACCATGTATAGACGTTCTTGGAAAGATTGGGTACCAGTCAGGTTGGCCGAGCGGTCTAAGGCGCCAGATTTAAGCTCTGGTTCTCGAAAGGGAGCGTGGGTTCGAACCCCACACCTGACAAAATGTTTTTTCCATTTTTTCCCTGACTTAATTTTTATTATAACAACAGTTGTTTTTTTCGAGAATATGTGAATTGTGTCTATTTATATTAGCTAAAATAAAATCAATGGACAAATTGATTTAAAGACACCGCAGAAACGTTATAACGAATTGGGCTAATCTTTTGAAAAAAAATATATGTTGTTGAATCTAAGACGAATAACAAAAGTGGGTCCAAGGATTTCTACGAGTAGTTTGATATATTTTATGCCCTCATCATCCTCCCTACTGGCCAGTCCAGCACAGTATGATGGCTCAACTTGCATGACAGAAATTTTTCAAAAAACTGCTCAGGATTATCGTGCTTTTTTGATACATATAGCTATATTCTTTTATTAAATATTTTCATAGACAAGTGTGTTTATGTGACCAAATTAGGGGAATGCGTTAAAAAATGCAATATTTTATTAATCTATTGAAGTGGTCGAGACAGGGGTTGACATCACTATCGAGGATTTATTCAGGATGATTTTAGGATTAAGATTTGAAATTCCCGATATAAACACACATCCGCCAAATAAGTAAGGAGTCAAATGGGGAAGTGAATTGCTAGACAACACTCACAGAAATGGAGAAGCAGACATTTCCGGCAGGCACGGGAGCTCAACGCAGGGCCCAGTGTTAAGAATGGACGATTTTGCTTATCTTTGGATAGAGCCAACCTCAGGTGTTGGCGGGACTGTTGTCCGGCCATATTACGATGAGGCGCCACCTGAATGTGATGGGGGTGGCCGAGGACCCCATGTGTGAGCGCTGCGGGTAGAGGAAGAGTCTCGGCGCATGTTCTGCGTCGCTGTCACGTGTAGACTATTCTTTGGTCCAACACTTTGGATCCCCAGTATGTTAAGAAGCTGGGGCTGAGGGCTATACGCGACTTTGCTAGAAGGGTGGAGCTAGAGGCTTAGGGAATGTTAGGGTGCATAAGGCCCGTTTATGCGGCCTATGCACCGACTCCTCATGGTAGCCGGTATGCCTCTAATTTCGTTATTCATTCATCTATCCGATTCTAGAAAATCTGTCATCTTGTCAAGGATTGAAAGTAGATAGACTTAATCAGTTACGATATAAACACCTCATGTCTGAGATTATCTAAATCCTAAATAAATCACTCCGTGATATGGTTAAGCTTATCTGACCAAATCGTAAATTAATTACATTAATTACGGATAGAGGCGCTGGAAATGCTTTGTTTTCGTGCTAACAGGGCGACCGATGATAACAAAGTTGTTTTTTGAACTGAACATTCTAATAATTCGTTACTACAACAGAAAGAGTGTGAGATATGAGAATACTATGAGGACTTTTTGGTTTAAGAACACATTTCGGAGATGATCAAAGGGTTTAGCCATATGGTCAAATTTAATAGGCTGTGTATTTTAAATGCGACCATTTAGTGAAAAGCTCCATCGGACAATTCTACGACATGGCAAGTACAAATGCATATGAGAACAAGAACGAAAATACTCAGAAAATTACTTTGTAAGTGAGGCTTTTTACCATATTGTCATCTTTGGGTAGGAGGGATTACCAATGCAGATACTGGTGTTAAAAACGTAAAAAGTTTAACATCTTAACAGAATTTTCGGAGTTTGAAGCGATTTGGCTGGCGACCTGTAAGGGAGGGAGGATGAAATCTACAAACACCTTTTACATAAAATATTTTATTTGTCCCAGAACACACTCTATTATAAATGAACATCTGTATACATAAATATGTTTCTATTCTTGTAGATTTACATACAACTATTAATTATTAGCCAACGAATTCGAATAGATTACACGTATCTTGAAATTGCGTAGTTTTAGGCTGTAGTGCATACTTTTGAATCATTTGACTATCAATGCCTACCAGAGTGAGAGAGTTGTGTCAACACAATAATAATACTTTACCAGTGGAACCATCTACCTTCATCAGGCTTGTGTTGCTCTTTGCTTATGTAAGAAGTATCATGTCTTGGAATCGTCTAACGCCACAATTATCCGCAAAGACTCGTACTTTTAAAAAATAATACTAAGAATATGAATTTAATGGCAGAACTGTCAAAAAATTAACTTGCACTTGTAGTGTGCACTACAGCCTATGAGAACTAGGAGACAAACAAATCCTTGTCTGGCTCCTTCTACCTAGTCTGAATTCGTTGGTATTGGCATACATTAAAGTTTTCCACCTTACGTATGACGAAACTTAGAAATTAGAACCAAAGGTTTATTGTGAGGATGAAACTAATTGATTTCCAAAATTTGTTCAAAAATATTCGTGAAAAAAATAACTTTTTAGCAGAGTGGGTCAAACTCGTTATAAAATGGTGAATAAACAATAACATTATATGCACCTATCCATGTCCTCATATATTAAAACATTGGATTCGCCACACGCACAGTTGAACCTAGTGATACAGATATTACGTACAATTTGCGAAAATCAAAAGTTCGCCAGTTTTGGCATAACAAACAAGGTAGAAAATTCCTTGAAAATAAACTTATCTTAAAATACTCTTCGGGGGTTGTGCTCAATATGTCTCAAATAGCGTGGTTCTATCACCCCTCCAAAGGATGGTATTGACCTTCCGAACCCCCTGTGTAAGACGTATAGTTGTATTAACCTTCTCAGTCTTAGGTACCTACCTCTCTACTAAACATTTTTCAAATGGCCATAGAGTCATTGATAGATCAATACGATTTAAATAGATTTAGATTTTTTTACCACTATTGCTTCTCGCCACTTTATTTTCGAAAGTTCTCACAAGGTGAATTTTTAGAACCAAGAAAAGTAGAATAACTATTGTCATCTGACATGTGCTCAAGACAATTTTAATATAAGATGATAGCAAATACTTGGTATGGCCATCTGAAGCCGATATGTACTTTTATGAAACGTTAAATACTAAAATGATATTTTTGACACTGATCACACATACGAATCACCTTTTACAGAGATGATTTTAAATAACATGAAAATCACAGTTAATGTCGTTGCTTCAAAACAAAGATCGCGTCATCTAGCCAGTAGTATGACTGCTGCAAATCTCCTTCGCATAGGTAGGGTACTCTACTCCAAGACACAACTTCATATCCTTCAGGGACCAGGACATTTTCTACCAGGTTTTTAACTTGTTCCTCGAACGTATCACCGATGATAGGCAAGTGTTCCTTTGGCTTGTGGTCAGGAAATTCTGAAAAACAAATTTGCATTAGGTCTGTCGAAGAGCAAATTGTTATAAACATTAGTTCCTGCAATAAATGCTTTCCGATCTGCATACAACTTGGTTTTATTAATTCATTAAAAGAATAAACGAGGATTACCTCGTGATTAGCGTTATGCAGACAACGAAACAATTACTGATTATCAAAGCCCAATTGCCCTTTGTAAGTAATATCCATTCTGAGCTCTGAAAAACAGTGAGACGATGAAGAACTGTGAAAAATGGTGATTAACAACCCATATAAAACCAACCATTCCTACGGAGCGTTTGACCTTCTGATACAGTTTTTTATGGTCGGCTGAAAATTAACTATATCTTGATAAACTAAATTATTACAAGGTTTTTATTATCTATAATAATAATTTTATGGCAATTCTTAAAAATATCGAATTTTATTTTTATAACAAAACACTTCTCTTCCTCTAATAATTTTATGGCAGAAAATCATACTCTCCTCTCCATCTCGTTAAATGTCATTTTGTCGTGTAGGCATTCAGCGGCCCACTACACGATTTGGTGAAATAGTTTCACACGCAGTACTGCGGCTTTATCGGGTGGTGGAGATTTGAATAGAAATCGGCCTCTATAAGTGAGTTTGTTGTCGGAACCTTTTTTCTCACACTCTTGGAGATTTAGCCGTGGACATAACTACACCCAGCCATCGAGCTAGTAAGTGACCATTTCCTCAACATACTTTCTAATGCTATAGAGGGGAACCGGCGAATTTAAGTAGGACTCACGCCTGTCAGAAGCAGTTCCCCATTTCTGTGAACGCTCATTGTTCCAGGTAATTATGATTTTTTTACTTTGCTAGGCCTGTCTTAATCTAGTACAAATTGAAAACACAAGCGCTACGTACAAAAATTAAGCATAAGACTATCAGTAATTTTATTTGTGCCAGTTTAGGCGTTCTTATGTAACATTAGGGTTATACTTTAACCATTTAATTATTCATTGTTTAGGTCAATATTGAATCCGTTAAAAGCTATTTTTTCATCAACTTATGTAGTAGTGAAAAGGGAGACATTTTGGATTTCTCATTGGTAAGACTTATATATTGTTCTGTATCATAGTACATACACTGAGAATAATATATTGTTATTTTTATATTGCTGTAGCTTCTGATTTTGGTTGTATATTTACTTGAGTAAGGCATGCTCGCGAGGTAAAATATTCCTGTTGTTCTCGAGTAACACTCTAATTGCGTTACTTATAAGATGATTATTTTAATTTAGTTTATGCTAATTTAAAAATTTGGGTATTGCTAGTGCTAGTGCATTCACGATTTTCCTTGTACACCGTGATTGAACAGCAACCTCGTTTTAATTTAAAATTTTGAATTGATGTAACCCAAGACTAAATGGTTCTATCTTAAATTTAAATTTTTAATACGTGGAAGCAAAATGGGGGATTAGTAGTGAAACCGTTATTTCGGGTATTTTTTTTAACAAGTATTTTTTTCTATTTGGAGCTCTATCTACGGGTTCTACCTTCGGGTATCTAGTTACATTTGGGACTTCCTGCCCTCGGTTGCCTTCCTGTGATGGCCAGGCACCTGCCAAGGTTTTTTTTATCGCTACGGGCAATCAAATGACTCGAGCGAATTCAAACTTGTACTGAAGACGGATCACATGTTCCCCTGTCTCCCCTCCAAAACCGGCGCCTCCAGTGTTTCCAGATCGAACGCTATGTTGTCAGTCTCATCACTTAATTTACAGACCTCGTATCATTGTGTTACGTGAAAGAAGAAGTGCCTATTTCTTACCTGATTCAACGTAGGCCGAGAATGGTAAAACGACAGCCAGTAACAGCATCCCATTAGATTTCAGAGCAGTCTTCATTTGTCTCATGAGAGTTAGTGGAGTGGTGCAACGGTCGATGAGATTCAGGCAGGATATCATGTCGTATTTCTTGGCTAGGTGCCAGCTGTCCAGATCCAATATCCTGGAAAATTACAAATAATGAACGATCATATTGAGTAAGAAAATATACATGACATTGCTGTTGCTAAGCAATATAGATAAAAAATATTTCAAGATATTCGATCCTTTCAACCAATTGAAATGAGACCATTATTGTATTATAAATCCAAACCCATCAAAACTTTCATTACCTCACTAAAACGCCCATCGTTCAAATGAGGTTTTACCAATGTCTGTGAGTGCATTTAATTTCACTTCTACAGGGGTCATTTGAAAACTTCCAAGGGGCCGTTCAAGTATTACGTGAGCACTATGGGGGAGGCTTGCTTTGCTTATTTTGGATGACATGGGGGGTAGGGGAGTCTAGATGATGATTACGTCATCGGTGGTTATTTACTTTTTTACACGTCATTGTCTTTGCTTGAAAACGAAACGCATTTTCGGGGATTCCCGCAAATAATGCATACGTTTAGTGAACAGCGCGCGGCAATTCCCCTACTCGCTTTAGAACCGAGTAGGGGAATTACCGGTGTTACTTGTCTAAATTTTCTCTATCAGTGTATTGTTTCGTTTGGATACTATAGCGAGTAGACGTATTGTAAGCATATTAAAGCAAGTTAACATTTGTGTTACCATTGATTCCATTAGCCAAAGTTTAATGTTTAAATAAGATGTCGTTTCACATAGACAAATGTACAAAAGTAAGTTAATGAAGTGTGGCAAAATTACAAATTACACGCAACATCCGACAAGGAACTAGATATTATTGTATCAAAGAGAATTTAAGAAGAATTGCAAGCGGCTACTAAGAATAAATCCAATCTACTAAATTTTTTTTCTAAGGTGAGTGACGATATCATTTTAGGTACCTATGAGTACTAGAAATATTACAAATCGGCAAAAAGTTTCTCTTTACTGATTAGAAAATATTATGGCCTATCTCAAAGTATAGAGGTAATATTCCTTATATTATAGATTTATTTCTTATGATTGATTCCGTCAATTGGTCACAATAGCAAGTTCGCTGAAACATCAATCCATTATTTAGAGAACATAGCATCCATACTTGGACCAAATCAAGTAATTTTCATATTTCAAGATGATAAAGCTCGAGTCCCTATTGGCGTAACTGCGACAAATAAGCAAGCACCTCTTCTAATGCACATGGAATATAGAATCAAATTGCCTGATCACGATTAGGTAATCGCTGAGCGTCATAAATTAATACCATCTGTTTATGCTGGTATCAAAATCACTTCCAATATGCTAGGAAAACCGCAAGCCGTTGGACATTCTGGACCAACATACATCGCTATTCGAAGTGGAAAGCATAGTTCATCTACTGCTAATACTCATGCTCAGGATTTCGAGACGCTTCTCGAACTTGAAGAGTCGACCATTAGCTAAAACTGACTATGGACTAGTAAAACCAGTGGTATTCATGACGGTTGATGGAGGGCCAGATGAAAATCCACGTTATCAAAAAGTCATAGGGTTTGCTATACAACACTTTAAACATGATTTCGATGCATTGTTTTTAGCTACCAATGATCCTGGAAGAAGTGCGTATAACACAGTAGAGCGCAGAATGGCTCCTCTTAGTCGGAAATTGGCTGGTTTAATATTGCCTCATTACCATTTTGGGTCTCATTTGGATGAACGTGGCGTTACAATTGATGAACATATAGAAAGATCTAATTTCGAATTTGCAGGAAATGTATTAGCGGAAGTATGGAGTTCAATGGAAATTGACGGCTATAATGTTAATGCGAAATATGTTGGGGCAGTTGAACAAGATCTTCCAGATTTTCCAGACATTAAATGGTATTCAGAACATGTGCGTGAGAGCCAATACTTGCTTCAAATTGTAAAATCTAGAAATACAGAATGCTGTCGTCCAAGAAATATTTAGATTACTAGACAATAGGTTTCTTCCACCACCTGTAAAAGTAAAACAAACAGTTGATGACTTGGTTTTGGATGAAGGAGGGCTATTTGTTAATCTTCCAATCAATTTAGCTCTACGCTTAAGTGCTTCACTCAAAGATTTCCTGCAAATGCCCTACGATTATTTTTGTCCGACGGTAAAATTGAGCCTATCAAGTCGAACATGTAAAACGTGTGGTCTTTATCATGCTTCCGTCAAGTTACTAAATCGTCACATCGAAAATATCCATACAAAAGTAAACACGCACACTGATAGGAAAGTTAGACCTGTAAGAGTCGCTGCTCTTCGTGCTAATGAACTGATGTGCATTATTCAAAATTTAGAGCACCATGATGTTGAATGGCTCGATGAGAACGACGTAGACATTCCAAAATCCGATGAAAGCGAGCAAACTCACAACACTGAGCAGCAATCGAAGCAATCCAATGCCATCGAAAAATTAGAATCATGGATTCGGGTTTCATGGACTGAAGACTGTTAATTTGAATTTAATATATGTACCAAAAATTTAAAATAAGTTTGTTATATATATATATATATAATATTTTTGTCCTTTACTCTATGTTGAATACCGTATCAGTAAAATATAATCCTATAATCCTATAATCCTAAATCTATTTCCTTATTTTTCAAATTATAATTATAACGTTATAATTAAATTATAAAAAAAACAATACATTAATTGACAAATGTTTACGTAAGTATGGGGGGAGGGGATAAGAGCTTTGCGCTAACAAGGGGGATGGGGGGGGGGGTAAATAGTTGTAATAAATCTGCTTACGTAATACTTGAACGGCCACCCACGACGGATTTATCGAAAACCGCTGATTAAAAGAAAAACGTCGAGACATGTCAAAATATTTGTCAAGGGGGACAACTTTTTCAGTTTGTTTGAAAGGCATTTAGAAGTCCTTTATTTTGACGCTTGATTTCTTAAAATCGGTAGATTCGTTTTCAAGAAGGTTATACAAATCTTTAATAATCTTAATTTGTTCAGATAACAAAAACACGAAAATATCACTTTTTATTTCAATAAGTGTTCAAAATGTTGGCCGTTATTGGCCAAACAATGATATAGGCGATGTTCAAATTCCTAACGGACATTTTCAAAAACATGTTGTGGGATATCATGGTAGCTTTAGATGATGCGTTGACGAACTTCATTCAACCTTTCAGGCTGGGGAGTAAACACAATATATTTCAAATGGCCCCATTGGAAAAAGTCGAATGGCGTCAAATCAGGAGATCTAGCAGGCCATTCTATAGGCCCTCTTCGCCCTGGAAACTGGTCGTCTAGCCATTGCCGAACCGGAAGAAAATAGTGGGGAGGAGCGCCATCTTGCTGGAAATGTACGTGTATTTAAGACTCATTAAGTATAGGGTTTCCATCCTCTTCGATTTGGTTTTCAATGGTTTCAGTGATAAGCGGATTGAAGGTATTTTCCAAAATACTCAAATTAATTTCTCCATTCAAATTTCCATTAATAAACAATGGCCCAATCACTTTGTTTCCTAAGATGCCCGCCCATATATAAATTTTTTGGTGGTACTGGATATGCCCTTCTAGCATGAGGATTTTCGTTGCTCCAATCCCTGCAGTTATGTTTATTAACAAATCCATTTAGATAAAATGTGCATTCATCACTGAAGCAGATATTCTTTACATGAATGGTATTACCATTAATCGCTGCAGTTATTTGTTCATAAAACTCAACTCGCCTATCGAAATCATCTTCGGTTAACTCTTGCAACATTTTCATTTTGAATGGAGTTTAGTCACTCGGTGTACAGAGCCTAAGGAAATAACAGTCGCAGCAACAATTTTGCGTAAAGAAGTTTGAGTAAATTTAGTAACAAGGTCCAAAACATACCTATGAGAAGTTATTTTCCACGGATGTCTGGCGTTAAAAGTGACGGCAGTTTGCCGAGCACATTGATTTTGGGCACCGTAAATTAGAATCATTTCCACTCTTTCGGCTAGTGTGTAAACCATTTTGGAAGTAAAATCTGAATCAATATATTAATATTCAGTATTCCAAGATTGTCACAAAGGTAACTGACAGCAAATTAAATTCTTTCTTTCCCTTAAGAACAGATAACTGAGCAGGTATAACAATAAATACAGTTCGCCCAGGATCTGTGTTGATGAAAATAATGCGGAAAAAAATTCGGGTTGTTATTTGGTTGTTGTTCCGAATTGCTGTTTATGTCGGGGATTGTAGATTTGACAAACCCTAACAGGCAACATTTTGAACACTTATTGAAATAAAAAGTGATATTTTCGTATGTTTTTGTTTTCTATCTGAACAAATTAAGATAAAGATTTTTCTAATTTTCTCGAAGAAGAATTGACTGATTTTGAAAAATCAGAGTTCAAAAGACCTTTCAAATAAGCTATTACTCGATACCCCTTGTCATTCAAAATTTTTAAGGGAATGATCCTGAGGGGCCGAGGGTGAAAGGGGGTGAAGTAGTTTTTAGTTAAAAAGTTAACCCCCTTGACAAATCTTTTTATGTTTCTCGTCGTTTTTTCTTTTAATAAGTGGTTTTCGATAAATCCTTAGTGGGAAGTTTTCAAATGAACACCATGTATATCTTCTTCGTCATCACTTTGGCTGGACGCTTGAGCAATAACTCAACAAGTAAAAAAAAAATACAAACAATCCGATTGCAGTAACTGAGAAGAATGAAGATTAAATTATGCTATCAAAACGAACCTAAGGACACTTTAAATGTTACGTCCATTAAACAGTTTGAGCCGTAGCCGTTGAAAGTTGAAATTTGTCTTTAATGGGGAACTAAAGCTGATTTGAGATTTGTATCTAGTGAGCAAGCATACTAATAGACCCGGAGCGAGCTAACGATTATACGAGCCCCTTCCCACTTCAGTTGGCCCACTTCAAGATTTGTACCAAAATATGCCTTTATGACGAAACTATTTACTTCTAAAACAATTTATTTTCTCAAAAACATTTTAGATACACTCTAGTCGTAAAAAATACATATTTTAAATCACTTAGACCTATAACTAATAGAACATCTGAACAAATAAACAATGTGCGAATAAATGCGCG